CTTTTCAATCAGTGTCTGTATATATTGACGTTGTACAGGATGAGCAACCCTAAAGATACTATGCGGAGCCCCACAGCATACACGCAGCACAGCTCTTCCTGCTTCAGTGCCTTGCAATGTAAACAGAGCACGTAGTGCTGTGCGAAACCTCAACACGTCTCCAGGCCGCAGCCTCGGCTGCATCTCAGTGCCGGGGCCGCCGCTGGGCCGCCCTGGTCCCCCTCCCGCGGCGCAGCCCAGCGAGGTGCAGCAGGGCACACATCGCAGCTAGGGTCTCTATTACAGCTTCTCTGTACTAGAACATCCATTTCCTCCGACAGCTTAATCTATACTGCAAATACATAGGCAAATTACATAGAAGCCTTCCCTAATTAAGAGACTCTTTCGATTATTTATAGCTTTGACAAAATTCATTCTGTCTCCTACAAGGAGTCTCATGTCTGGGGGTCAGCTCAGGATTGATTTCTGGAAGAAGGCTTCAGAAGAGCATTTAGTCATTTTTAAGAGGGAGATTAGAGGAAAGATTCTTCTGTGTAATAATTTATTACAAGTCCTTTGCTGAACAGCTTTTGTGCTCCCATTACTAGGACTACCAAATTCAAATTCGGCCGTGTCAGGGAAGCCTGCTCTACTTTCAAGGACAAATCTTCACTGACCCTGTGGAAAAATGTTCCAAGAGAACATGTGCTCCATTATTCATGAAATCACTATTCCTGCAAAACGAATAGAGGAACTGCCACACCAGCTTAGCCCAAAGGTCCCTACAGCTCAATACATTTTTTTCTGATGTTGAGAAGCAACAAACACCAGTGAATAAATTCACAACAGAGCCTGGGTTGTCCTCTGGTCACACTGCCTGCCTCAGTACCTTCGGTTTAGGAGCTTACGAGCTAGAAGCTGCAAGAAGATCATCACACAGAAGAGCCAGACCTCTATGGATGGTTGGTCCATCAATCTCAACCCTTTCTTCTATCGATTATTTATACCTGACAATTCCACAGGATCTTATATCAGTTATGCAATATTCAGTTCTGCTACACTTCAATAAGTATGTACCTTTAATCATTTTAAGCCTGATTTTTTTTTCTCCTGTCACAGTTTCCGAACAGTGAAAAATGTGTAATTGTCTCTTTTTGTCTTTTTTCCCCCCCATGATAATCAATTTGTATACCTCCACCTCTACCACAAGCTTTCTCTTCTTATACTGAAAAGTTCTAGTCTATTTAATGTCTCCTATGGAATCTATTTCAAGTCTCTGCTTAATCTTATGGTCCCTATTTAGCCTCTTTTGGAAGTTATTTAACACACTATGCAAATATGTCCCAGGTTTAATAAACCAGCACAAACAGTACTTCAGTGGTTAGACAAATTCAGACTGGGATTAACACATACAAATTAAATAAATAATAACTTCAATAAATAGAACAGTTTAGCAAGGAATGGGGTAGACTCAGTCTTTTGAGCAAAAAGATGATCTTGTTGGGTACATGACAATTTTGGCAAGCAGTTGCAAACTCTGCCTGCAGTCAAAGGAGATAATGGTTTCTCTCACTCATTCTACAAATCACAAATCCATCTAGACGGCAAGAGGCCAACTGTATTTATAACAACTTTAAGAAGTGCTTAATAGATCTGGCTCATCATTATCAATTACTTTAGGAAGGTGCCGGATCTCTGGAAGTTTGCCACATACAACTTTTCCATCAGATGCCGTACTAAAAATAGCCTGCACTTCTGTTCCTCATGTCATGGGCTGCCTTTGCACACAAGCAAACTTTGCACTACCGTAATGCTGAGAGTCCTCCTGAAGATCACTGCAGCATAAGCAGAGAGCGAGGGGAACAGTTTTGTAAGACATGCCCATTCAAGCAAACATGTGCTAATCCATATGAGAATGGGAAAAAAATGGGTAGAAACTCCCACTAGAGTGGCGCAACAAAATAAGACATCAGTGGGCAGAATTGGAGAAAAATATTTCCTCTCAGCTCTGACTTGAGACCAACAACGAGGGGAAATTATACATATATTTATATCTATATAAATGTTTATATATATGCCCATGGCATCCACATATTGTACCTGACACTGGAAAACTACAAAAGCTGCACAAAAGTTACACAGTTTATGGAGGCTTAAGCTATGACCTCTAATGAGACACTATGGCTTGACTTTTTCAATTAGTTATTACTATAGCACAGGTTTTATAATCTTTACCAAGGAAGAATATACTAGTGACTTCCAAACGATGAGCAAAATCCAAAATGGATCATCTAAGATCATTTCTCTTATATTCAAAAACTGCTAGATTTCACTAGCTTCCTTCATATGAAGGCTTTTACATCCACATTAGTATTGTATCTATGAGATTTTCAAATCTACAGCGTAGCTTTTGTCTTCAGGAAAAAGACTTCTCAAAATTCTTTCATCACCTTCAGAAGACTGACTTTCAGTCCCTGAGCGACAGTTTGTAAAGGTCTTCCAACTATTTCCCAGAAAAAGCATCTACCTTCTTGACCTCAGGTTGTATAATATAACAAGGCAGTGACAAGAAGACTTCCTCTATCAGAGCTTTCAGAGACAAACAGAATTCCAATTTCATTTGAATTTCTAACAGCTTGTACAAGAGAACTTTTCTGCAAAACAAAGGTACTAAAACCAACCTCCATTGCCTGATAATGGAGCACACCTGATAAAAAAGACATAATACCCTACAGCGCTGATGTCAACCTTGCAAAACAAGCATTGCTTTCTGCAAGAAAGAAAGAGAAATTCTGTCTACAGTGGAGATACGAGTGACAGGTAACATAGAGACTCCAAACGGGCTCGGGAACTGTAAGCAAGAAACTAAGCTTCACAAGAGATGGACAATATTCAAAATGCATTTCAGAGGATATAGCATATAGTTCCATTACCCAAAAAAATTGATGCTACCCTTTACTATATTACACTTCTACCTTTTAAACCATCTATTGCTGAAAATGTAAACCAAGGTTAAAAGTATACATTGATTACATATTTACATGCTAATTAGCCTAAAAATTCTCGAATTGTCTTTGTTAAACTATTTGATGAGTGTCAGACATTAGAACGCATTGAGTATCTTTAGAGTGAGAGCCACACACAGAGAAAGCACCAGAAGTTTTATGTAAAATGACATTGATACCTAATACCAGATTCCCTCCAGAAAGTTTGTTTAGAGAGCAAATGAGCACCAAAAAAATTCTAAGCTGTGAATATTAAACCAGAAAGAGGACAAATCGAGTGTTATTCTGCTCTTTCAGGTAACCTTAGAGGTGAGTACCTTGAAAAAATAAGTAATATCAAAAATTTTACTCTTTTCCCCCCTGAAATGATTAAAACATTTCCTTGACCAACACCATCAGTTTTCAGCCTCATACTGTCCTGTTGCATTTGTCTTGTATTGCAAGGGATTTGGAAAACCACAACAGCAGGAGAGCCAATAACAAAAAGCGGAGCTGAACAACATAGCTCTTCATGTTGGCTCACGACTTATTCAAGGCTCCCACACACAACTACTTTTTTTCTTTCTTTTTTCCATCCCCCCCCCAGTATTTCTGTGTAACTTCTAATACACACTCAGTTCCATATTTCCAAGCAAATCAATTTAGGAAGATATAAAAAGCGTATGATTTCCTATCATGAGACCAAAAGAACCAGACTTTTCTTGCCTTATAATATGTCATATAGCAGACACGTCACGAGCAGTCCCTGAAAAGTAACAGCTACAGCAACAAGCAACAGAAACCCATTTAACTTCTGTAGATTACATGAACAGATTATAATCTTCTTCACATAAATTATGATATGGGAAGAAACTAGAAGTTTTCACAACTTCACGTCAATAGCAAGGAAAATCATTCTACAGCAAATGTAAGTCATCCTTTCTGAAAGTAACCTCCAGAAGTGATCAACACCCCATTTCTGATTTATCAACAGTATTCACTGCACACAGTGTGGGAACAAACTAACAGCTGAAAGCAGCATATTTCGAGTTCTTTGAAATAGTCTCAATTTGTACACTTTAAGGTAACTTCAAGTTAGTCATTACTGAAATATTAGCTACTGCATTTGTCTTGTGGATCTCGGGTGTGGATTATACTTACCTGCATATTGTACTTTCTGCTACTCCCCAGCCACTACTGAAATGTGTGCCCCACTATCAGAAAGGCTCCTCGCTCAGACTCGCTGTGGGATGTGCAACCACTCTTGTTACAGAAGGGCTTATTTCCCCTCTTGCCCCACTCTTTCCACAACAAGTGCTACATTTGCTTGCTTCTCAATGCTAGCAAAACCATTTTGTACCAGTACTAGAGTTAACTGAAGAAAAAAAAGTGGGAAAGCACCCCAGAGAACATCAACCCAAGCTGAATACAATTTCAAAATTGCCTCAGAGCTCAGAAGATTTTTTTAAATACTGAGCTTCTGTACAAAACAAGCCCTGAAATGGAAGACCATCAGATTTGCCATGATATAGAAAATTAGATCATTTGCTCTACACTTGAATTAACACATACACTACTGATAGAAATGTTTAAAAATATCAGCTGTATAAAAACAGCTCTTGAGCAAAAAGATCCTAAATTATAATGACCTATGGAATAACTCAATTTACTAAATTTAATCCCCTAGTGTATGTGCAATGCACCTTAAACAAGGAGAGGTGACATTTTGCATAGTTCTTCCACAGAAATAGTAGCGTGCAGAATCCATTACCCCTAATGACTGCTCTTGTACTGACATAAACCACCTTTCACTACATGTACTCATTGGGGTCAGTTCGTGAACAGAAGCAGGCAGAACAACATGGTTTTAATCATATCTGTCTGTATTAGCAAACAATATAGCGTACTGGCAAGCACACTGCCACTAAAGCACTAAGTACATTTCATCATACTAAATCTTTATGCAATTACAAAGCTACTCACAAGGACATCATGGAGAAGTTTTTCTTTACTTAGCAAAAAGAGCCAGATACTCACAAAGAAGGGTCCTGGACCAGATCTTTAAGGTTAATCCCACTACGATCCTCGGCAAGGTTCCTGAAGCAACTGTCACTCACTAAAAAAATAAAAATAAAATTAAAACAAAACAAAAAAACAGAGAAACAAAAGAGGTGGAAATTTAAGAACAGAATGCAGTTTTGTTAAGTAATAACTTTTATTTGGTGTCAACTCTAATGCATATAAACATCCTGATTTTTAAATGAGGTTTTGGCTGATGGCAGCTAAATTATTTCAGTAGAATGCGATAAAAAAATATCACAGATAACACGGGAATAATCTGTTTCCAGCCATTATCTTTCATACTTCTAAACTTTCTGTGGCTACAGAAAATCTCAAACTCAACACTGGATGCTTACACATGCAAAGATATCAGTAAGCTTAGAGTACAATATTTAATAACATACCGCTCACTATTCTGTACCTATTCAGAAACACTGAGTTGCATGTGTTTAATGCCTGAGCTTATGATTGTTCATGGGTCAGGATGGATGTTTAATACAAGCAATAGCCAAAGCAAACAATTTGGAGGATGGAGCTATTGAAAGGGCTTATAATTAATAAGATGAATATAAAATAGCTAGATTGACTATAATAATTGAAAAACTGTCATACAGTTAATTTTAAAAAGTTTAAGAGTATTAATGTGCTTTCTTTTCCTTCACTTTCTATAAACAGACACATCACATGATTTGAACCCAAAAGCCCAAATTCTCTCACTTTACTACTGCTCTTAGCACATGAACCCCACTCACACATGCGGGCTCATTTCTCTTGTACACTGCTATACTCAATTAGAAAAAAATATCAATAATAACACTGTGATGACTGCTTTAAAATACCCGCGCAGGTGCCCGGGAACTGCAGCTATTCCCAAGTACACCGAACTAGCCAAAGGGCATCGAGGCGACGACAAGGCTGGAGTCTCCGTGAAGAGCAGCAGCTGCCGGGCACAGGAGGACAGACGTCCTGCCCGGAGCAGGGCACAGTGCCGCTCGCGCTGTGGGAACGGGAATGCAGGGGGAATGCTCCCCAAGTGTCCCCACCTCTTGCTCTTTATCCACTTGAGCACTGTGATAACTGGTGGCTATCCTGAGCTTCCCCTACCCGCCTCTGACAACATTAACAGCAACCGCTGCTCGCCCCGGGTGAGCACCGAGTGCCGACGCGACGCCCCACCTGCCCCAAGGAAGCTGCTGCTTGAAGCGGATACCATGGGTCTTCAGCTTTCACTTGGGGCACCTGGCACCACGAGGGCCCCCATACGGCTCCAAGCACCCTGGGGGCTCCCCCGGCACCTTCCCCGCCGCGGGGCCAACCTCCGCACACCCGCTCCAAGGTGTCCGCACGCCGGCCTCTCCACCGCGGATCTGCACAACAGGCGGACTCGGCTGCCTGCCGCTTCCAAATGCTGTGGCCAGCAAACAAAATAGATTGCCCGTGAGTGCCAGAACCAATGCCAGCTGGTTTCCTAAGAATCTGTTGTTCTTGTTCCCTTGTTCCCCAATACTGTTTCCTTCAACATCCAAGCAAGCGAGAGGATGCATGCTAATTCCAAACCATCCACACAAGCGCACCAGCCATTACCAAACTGCCTCCTCTCAGCTGCAGGACACCAAGTCTCTAAGATGTGAATCCCCTCCTCTCTGCCTGGCTGCTGATTCTTAGTTAGCTTGTATAGAACAACAGTATATTTAAACAATCCCACATTGCTCCATTACTGTTCCTTTCCTATTAGCTTCTTATCAATCTCTCAAGTGTCCTTCTCTCTTTGTTCCCCTTTTATACTTCCTTTCTAGTAAAAATGGACACAAGAGTAAAACTATGAGGCGACAACGCTTGCTGGGCTAACAAGCAACACTCTCACAGCAAGTACTAACAACCAGGCAGGCTGTGCAGGGCCCGGCCTAACGTGGGCCAGGGGACACAATCCTAGCGGACGAGTCAACAGCACTCAGTTTGATTTCAGTTCACCCAAGGCCTCAAAGCAGCCTCTTGCCTCATCCAACAGGAGCGACGGTGCATTTCCCTGGCACATCAGTAAGTGGTGGTACCTTGCGTTCCTAGCGCATGTTGCACTAGAGGGGATAACTGCCTCACAAATAATCTTTCTGCAGGAACAGCGAGGAAACTGCACAAGGTGGCCCTCAGCTTCCCGGACAGATTCAATGACAGAGGATTTGTTCTTGATGACTCAAAGAAAATCTCCGTCTCGGTTGCTAATACTGTAAAATTTATGTTGGAGTCTCTCTGAAGGCTGTGAACCTCTAAGAGCCTCCTCGCCCCCTGAATCCTCACATTTTTAACCACAATTTAAGCCATTTATTCACTACATGTGTGATGCCTTTTTTTTTTTTTTTCAAATGATTTATCACTTAAATTTACAGTATTTCTGTGGCCTTGAGGTAGAAAATCTGTACTAAATTTCCATCAATCCATTTCATGTCTAGCAAGCTTGGGCTCAATCACACTACCTGCTCAGCACTTCAAAAGGAAAACACCAGGCCATGAAAGGCATTCAAATCCTTGGAGAAAAACATCATGACTTATAACTGTTTGCCTCCCATTAAAAAAGATCCTTCTTTTTTTCAGCCAAGAACACTAAAAGCTTCAGGAAATGCTTTTTGGAATCATTCATTTTCATTGGAAATGCCTTTTTCTTTTCTTTTTTTTTTTTTTTTTTCTCTCTGCCCAAATATAGTCACATTTAAGAGCCACTTTCTTGGTTCTGAACACTAACAAACTCTTGGATGGGGATGAAAAGAATAAAGTTTAGTACTTTAGAGAATAACACCTCTTTTACAGACCTCTGAAATTATTAGTTCTATCAAGGGTTAGAATAGCTCCATTTACAGCAGATGACAAAAAAACCACATGTTTTTAAAGGACAGTCTTTTTCAAAGAAGTCTTGCAATTGCTTTTCAGCTTTCCTCATTTTTTTAGGGGAAACCTGAGAGTTTTTGTTCATAAAAAAAAACTTACCCCCAGTCTTAGCTTTTTGGTGTTTTATTTAGTTTGGAAAAAGAACTTGCTTAGTTTCTTGGCTAACACCTGGAACACTTTGCATCATTTACAGAGGCAGAACTTTACAGCTTGCATGGATTCCTGGTTGTACCATATGCCGATCAACTTCATCATCAATCTCACCTAGATCCCCCTTTAAATATAATGAGCACCCATGCTAAGTGTTAACCTGTATTTTATTCCTTATTTGTCACCTGAATTAAGGTACACAATTTCTCCATGAAAGTCTATCCATTTCCCTAAGACTTTATCTTCAAACATTGGGTTTCTCCTGTCCAACACCTCCTGTGGCCTCTCCCTCTCCTCTGCCCCCAGAATGTAGATGGCTTATTCAAGATCTGTACGATCATGCGGTGATATGATCCAGGAGGCCACATTTCACACCACGGCATGTACCATTACCCCTCTGCACTGCTGCACAGCTAAATGCACACAGATCTTCCAAAACTAAGAAAATCCTTCAGAGCTGAGCCACAGTCCAAAGGGCCTCAGTGTCTAATCTTTTCTTCTGCTCATTTCTCACATGTCCCCATATAGCAGGAATCAGGTAGCTAGCACAAATTACACAGTTAAAAAAAAAAAAGAAAAAAGTCACTTTGCATCATTTAAGGCTGGATACACCTTGAATATCCAAAACTCTGTTGTAAAACAGAAGGCACCAACTCCAAGCTTGACCACCCTCCATGTCACCTGAGCTGACACTGTTTACTACCAACCACACAAAGTAACAGGCCAGTATTGGATAGAGTCACTCTGGATTCATGTGTTTTGAGACAGGCTCTCATGCACTGTTTCCAGTAGCTCTTCCTTACCCAGATGCAGCACAGGCTGCTTTACTAAGGTTTGGAAGCCTTAGTTTGAGCTGAGGAGCCCTCCTGAACCCCGACTCTAAAACAAACACTAGCACCAACCTGGGTACAGCAGGAGTAGCACAATCCCGTGCAAATATTCATGAAGCCAAGTACTTCACCAAGTACCACAACAGAAGCTTAAGTGAGCAGACACCAGACAGACATGTGAGGTGTAAACCAACTTTACATGGTGCCACCTCAACCACAACAGGATTTATTAGCTCAGATTTGCAGTAGCATGAAGGTATTTAAGGTACCCTGAAAGTCTTGGAAAAACTTGTCACATCCACAGGACACTGTCCCAGAAAATGCTATCAGGCTCTTGTTTTCTTCCCAAGGCTCCTCAATGCAATCAAACCATAACTCAAACAAAATTCCTACATTTCTCCTCAAGTAAAATTACTGGAGAAGTTGGGAGCTATTAACAGGTTTGCACCAATATGCTTAAAATACCACAAGCTGTGAGAATCTATATTTCTTCACAGTGCTCTACAATGTAGCACAGAGCTTCTCAGAACATACGAACTGCTACTACGGAGCAGATAGAGAGACCCAGCTACGCCTATCTGTGAACAGATGCTGATATCAGATCCTATAAAGAGCAAGTTCTAAAACATTTTAGATTTTCAAGAGGGTTTCTAGTTAGTTCACTGCTGTCTCTCTTGATGTCAGCGGTGACAATTTTACTGCTCCCAGTTCTTTCCTGGAGCCGAGTTCTACTAAGGCACCACGGGAAGAGAAGCCCCAATCATGGAACACACTGCAAATACCTAGTCCCAAGATGCTGACAAGAGTTTAACCTAATTCACTTCTAACCCAAGTACCAACATAAGGTCTTCCATGGCAACATTTTCCTAATGGGATAAGGAGAGCATCGTTCTTTCTTTGCTGCTCTTGTGCAGAGAAGGAAGCAACTGGCTGGGAAACCTGCAGCTCGAGTCAGACACCCCTCTCGTGCACAGAGGGATGCCTTACCCCAAAACCTGTGTTTTTCTGAAACAGAGTCTGCTCCTCCTCCTCTGAACCTAGCTCGAAGAAAATCAGGTTTTAACCTTCTCTCAGTGTTTTGTTCATTTTAACATGGACTTATCTTGAACTACTACTCTAGGCAGCCAAGCAATGGCCATTTGCCACAGAATTGGTACTTCCCATTGACACTGGAAAGATTGCTTAGTTCCCAAAT